CAATAGAATACACACACCATGCCTTGTTTGGGAATTGTGTTATACTCTCAATTCTGTTTGTGCCTCTCTTCAAGGCGCTAGTAGTTACATGGTGACAAATATCTATGCCATCAAAATCATCATTGATTCTTGATAGATCCAAATCATGCACAGCAACTACACCTGCTCCATTTGTCATTGCAAGGAACAATTTGGAACAAGAATTAGACAACTTGCTTCTTAATAAGTTTTTTGCATTCACTATAGTTCTACTTGAAGTTATGTCACTATCACTTCCAAAATTATCAAGTTTCCACACTTTTACAGTCTGATCAAAAGATGATGATATAAGACACCCTGTATCTTTGTCAGAACCAATATTCTTAACCCAGCCACTGTGTCCCCTTAGCACAGCAAATGATTGACTCAATTTTCTTAAATCCCAAAGCTTTATGGTCTTGTCATCTGATCCAGTCACAAAAGTTCTTGAGTCTAAAAAATGAATACAATTTATGCAATCATCATGCGCTCCACCTTTTTCTTTAATTAGTTTTTCTGTTGCTGGATCATAAATCATAAAAGTACATCTTTCACAAGCAGCCACAACAACTTTTCCGTCCAATGAAAACTCCAGGTTGAAAATGGCCCCATTTCGGGTATCCATGCTGTCTCCGAAAGAACCAACATAACTCATATTTCTGTACAGCCACGCATGGAAAGAATCAAAGTCATAAAGGCCTGTTAGTTGCGCATTCTCAATCAATTTTAGCAGAGGTTGCCTTCTCGCATCATAGCGACAATTCCACCGCACATGGTTTGTTGTGGATGCCGATTGCATTGGAATTGAGTGTTGGTCAGAAAACAATACGGGCAGGCTGATCACAAATATTTCACATTTACTAATCTACAATCCACAGAGCATTTCCCTTTTTTTAAAAATATCATCACAATGAAGCTCTAAACATCGCGAGTAACATTTTAAGCTGTAAGGAGCAACTAGAAGTGGCCTAAACTCGTGTCTCCAGATCAACCTGCCTCGTTCGCAAAATGAGTACCTATGATCTTCGAATTTCTCAAATGGGCCCACTGATCTGAAAACGTTTTGAATTTAATTTGAATTTTGAATCTAAAAACTAAAGTGTTTATAAACTTTTTAGATTCAGAATATTAGTTTTAGTTTTCTGAATTTCATCGTGTAGAAAAGCACGCTCAATGGTTGGGCTGTGTCTAACACCAGACCAGACTCAGAAAGACGAGCGGTGATAAATTTAGGTGCAACCCGATTAGTCAAACATAAACTGAGAAAGGATAAAGAGAACCTAGCCGACCTCAGCTTACCTCTAAGCTTAACCAATGCGTTGAGATCCTCAATCTCCTCTTTTGTGTACCTCTGCTTGAAATATGCAGAGGAAATTTCTCGGCTGACGTAAAATTTAGTCCTCAAAAGTGCCCGGTCTATCTTTTTTTAGCCCGTTAACTTTTGCTCTGATGAAGCCCCGTATGCCGGGGCGAAATATTAGCCTTTACTGATTTACGTGTTTTTATTGTTGTTTATTCTCGGCGTATTGCGGTGTTTCATATTTGCTACATTTTTATCTAAAACTACCCTGGATCGGTGACAGTTCCCTAAGTTTTGAAAGTCAAATAAAACAGGCCATTACAAATTGTTTCTTTGCAGTCAACACACGTGTTGTTTATAGTACGAAAAGGGCCCTTCCGTCCATTCAAAAGGACTGCGTTCCTGCCACACAAATAAAGTTCCGTTGTATATGAATTTACATGCCAATGTGATTCTGGACCCAAAGATTGGAGGATAGAATAAAACAACATGTTCCGCCTAGAATTAGAAACAAAACTTGTCCCAAAGAGAATAGCCACCTCGGTCTTGCAAATCTAAAAGTACAACTAAAACCTGCGATTCTGCTATCGGGCAGCATTTACTGGAAAGCCAGATCGTGCAAAAAACTATAATGGCGACATGTTTCGGATTATTGGTGAAGCCCGATCGTCGTTCCACCTTGCAGTTTTGGAATCTATCTACATAAGCACGAAAAAACCGCTACTGTGTAGACAAAAGGAGTTCGTTTTCACCTTAGGTCTCCATTGGTAACATTCTCAATAGGCAAGCGGCACTGATTGGTCAACCTCAACAGTCATGTTCTCGTGTTTCTGATTGGCCTATTTCGATCCACAACTGGGTATATATTCCCTAGCGTAGAGTTTTTGGTCTATGTTCTGACGTTTTAAACTCTGAAGAGTGTCAGACGAAATACTTTAGTGTGCTAAATGTTTGCTTTTTTCAAAGCCATTTTCAAGTTTTGTACCACCAAAAGATTGTTTAAATCTTCTTTTCTTTCCAAATTTTCATTAACAATATCACGTTTTGTCTTGATTTATTGATATAATATCCAAAAGATGTGTGATCTGCTTCTCTTGCTCTGATGCTCAAATCTTTCTCTAGATTTGAAGATTTTCTCATTGCCCGTGTTGTAGAAAGTTTTTAGAAACAATACAAACAATACAATACAATACAATAAAATACAACACAACACAACACAACACAACACAACACAACACAACACAACACAACACAACAGTTGTGGCAAATAAAGGTTTCTTCTCAGTAATTTTTCAGGAACCTTCCCTTCCTATATGAAAAATGCTGAGTTGTAGTCAGGGCAAGTAAATGGATGAAGCTAAATTAGTGACCTTCTTTGTTCTAATATTAAGTCACTGTCACTCATTTCAAATGCTTTTCTATTTCTGCCTGTTTTTGAATTGAGAAAAAAGATATCAGGTTAACAGACAATTTGGGATAATGCAAACATCACTTGATCAAAGTCCCGGGAATACGAGCAAATTCTAGCTATTCCTTCTTATTTCTTGTTACATGATTTGCTCGTAGAACTACTTTCGTTTCAGCTTCTTTTGTGTACTAAGATCTGGAATTTGAATTACAGTTCCCAGGCACTGCGCATCCATTGGGCTAGCAGGAGCTATAGCCCTCCCCCCCCCCCACCTTTTTGCGATAATAGGTTAGACAATTTTTAGAAAGTGTGTTCTAACGCTAGAACCCATTTTCTTGGTGTCTTAACTTGTCAAATCTATTTTTATAGCAATTTATATCTTCTCTGAAACGGACTGTTTATAAGAAATAAGTGGAAAAAGTAAGTATTTTCTAAAAGAGGCTTTTACCGGCGTTATGAAGGGTGTGGCCTAGAAAATCTCAAGACTTTTAGAATGGTGCGCGGTGCCTGGCAGTTCCCTTATCTTGAAATGAAGAAAGAACGATACACTCTCCAAAGCCTCCCGAAGAAAGAAGAGTAATTCACAATTCCAAATATAGATAAGTGATGGAGTGCACGATTTGGCTTATGCAAACTCAGAGGATGAAGATGAACCCGATGCTTAGATGCCTCACAAAAGATGCCGACAATACTGCGCATGGTACTTAAAACTTCCTTAAGACTTTGATACATATTCAACAGTTTTCTCTGAGATATTCAAAGCTTACACATATGTGGCAACTCTTTCAGCTAGCAAAAAGCCAATTTTGAATTGGCATTTGAGTTTCAGTTTGTTGTAAGTTGCTGTACAGGAAGATGTTGCTGTAGCAAACAATATAAAAAGGTCCTTCTTGTCCTGCTGGGCAGGAACACAAATTTCCAAAGATAAAAATTCTTGAAATAAGAAAAATTGATTCATTTTATGAAATAATTATATGCCTGATTCAAGGGTATTTCTTGTCTTGTTCTACAGTTATACTTCGTGGCTGTGCCCTTTTTCAATTTTGAGACACAGGGTGACTGGAATGGAATTTCGAGTATCCTGTTCGTAAGTGATATCGCCGAAAATTTAACCCTGTGGCCAGTCCTACCCAATACTCGTAGGCAGGACTAGACCCTATGTTTGGTCCTGTCCAACAATGGGCAAACGCCTCGTAGCCCTGTTTTTGGTCCTGCCTCACAATAGAAGAAAACAATGGCACTCCTGCCCTTCAGAAATGGCAGGACGTCGGGTCCTGCTCATCCATGAAGGCAGGACCTAGACTTTTCGAGCCCTATGTTTCGGTATAATTTGTTGATTTTCCGCGCCGTGCGTGGTCACAAAGAATATTCACTGAGGCTTTTCTTAGGAAAAATAACTATTTTTGGATCGTGGATCAAACTAACTGTAACAAAGACATGATTCTGCTGGTAAAGAAGTTTTTGCTGCTTCAGGCAGGGAAGACCTGCACTGTCGTCACTTGATTTATAAAAGAATCGATCGTTTCAAGACGAGTGGTATTTATGGAAATCAAATTGTTTAGAGTCATTCTGTTGGTCCTATTTACTGTTCAAGTCAGGAATATCACAGGCATGGCGAGAAAGCTGACATGCATAGTTTTCTCTCAGACTGCGGAGAACAAAGGAGTCGTATTCAAAAGCCTAATTATAAACAATAGAAAAAGTTTGCGGCCTCCGCCGAGAGAGAATCTTCGTTTCTTTGTACCATGATAGTCGAGATAGAGGGGAGATGGAGTGCGCATGACAGAAAAAAGGGCTTGCTTAAATTTAATTTTAGCAGTTCGTCATCCTGCCTTAACAGGAACTATCATACAATTCAGAGTTCCCGATGAAAAGGACGCCTGCTTAAACAATGGTTATTACTGGGAACTTTTGTAGAATTTTTGTGGTGCTTTTTGACTTCTTCAATGTAAGGCAGGGGGAGCTTGAAGGGATCCGAACCCTCGTCCCCTTTTTTCCAAAATGTAGCAGTTAAAAATGTTTCACTGCAATCTTGATTTCAACATATCCAGAAGGGCGTTTCCCCCTTTTCCGAAGGTCTGAAGGGCGTGGCTCCACGCGATTTTTCTGGCCCACCTGTTCTTGATTGGCTACGCCACTGTTATTTCATAAACCCTGATCAAATAAATTAATATAGACTAGGCTGAGTATTAGTAGCTATCTACAACTTTTTACCTTTCATGAATTCAATTGTGCAATGATAAGAGATTGCTTCCTCGAAAAATATACATAAAGTGATCAAAAAAAGAAACAGCTTTCATATCGATTTCAAAATTAAAGGCTATGTACATCGTTTAATGCGAACCTTAATGAAGCTTCATCAACAAGACAAAAATATCTGCTTTCTGGTTTTTTTTTGCCCATAATAAAAATATCATGTTTCTTGTAATTGAAGAGCAAGAAAACTGAGGGAAAGATAGCGAAATGTTAAGCAAAATATGGCTCGTTGGCTTCTATAAGAAGGCATAAATCTCCAATAGACTTTATTCCAAATATTTCCTTTTTATTGGATATTGAGTATTCCAAGAATTTTTGGACGCGTAGATAATGCTTTTCCTGTTCGTGAAAGCATCTTCTATCCCAAAGCCAGTCATGGAATTCGAATGCAAAGAGATTCTTGTGAATGTTTTCCCTTTGATACATAGTACAACTTTTTTCACAATAACGAAATCCAGCTGAATAGCACAAACTCTCGCGAATAAAGCCATCCATGACTTCCCGTGGAGGTTCTTGTTGCTCAAACTTGATGCCATTTAACATGAGATATCGAATATGAATTGCAGGTCGGGGTATTGGTACTCTCAAAAAAGATTTTAATTCCTTTCTGTAATATTTCAATTTAGCCATACTTGGTACCAGATCCTTACGCTTCAATACACCTTTTGGTATAACTTGCAAATGCCAGGCATACTCGTTCCTGTGATAGTACCAAACATAATTACACATAATATTAAATTGAGATATGCAAAATGCTCCTCCTGCTTCAATAGGTACGTCTCTAAACAATGCATCAAAAGTTTTTTCATGTTCCAATGAAAGCCTTTCCCTCATTTTTTGTATATGATCATTTTTTATCATAATTGGAAATGTTGACATGCATTGCAAAACTTCCTTCCTTCCGAGAAATATTTCAGTGGCCAGTGACCAGCATTCAATTGCCGGTTTACCGATTTTCGCCACAATTACAGGCTTTCCATTTTCAAACAAAAGAGAAGGTGTAACCAAAGTGCTGAAAAACGTATCTGTATCTATAAAGCCAACAAATGGAGAATCTGTGCATTTTTCCGGATGGAGCATGTCCCAGAACATCCTTGATTTTCCCATGTTATGGTAAATTGTTTCGTCTCCCTTTTCACTGAAGCAAATTTTTGGGAATGGCCATTCATTGCGTATATTTTCGGCCAAATAATGATCTTCTGTCTTTTCGCCATCAAGAACAACCACCAATTTTGCTCTTTCACTGGGAAAGAACAGCTTCATTGTTCTGACCAGAATATACTGATATTCTTTATCCCATCGATCATCAGAAGTAAAACGAACATACAAAATGAACTCTGGGATACCATGCCAAGGGCTTGCTACACTGATACTAGCTTTGCCTGCTTTCCTTGTACTTTCAAAACGATGCGTACGAACAGCGATGTAATATGCGAAATAAAGAATGGCCGACACAGCGAAGGAGCACACCGTGAGCGAAAACTTGGTATTTCTCATGCAGCAGCAGGCCTGTAGATCATAAAAAGAAAAATATAAAAATTTATTTAAAGTTGGCAGAGACAATAGCGATAAGCTAATCAAGACCAACTATACAGAATGTAATTAAAAGTCTAATTACAGAAAACCTAAATTTGGTATAAAAATTTTACGCAATTTACAGCTACAGTCAAATGTTTTTGTGCACTTAATATTTTTTTCAAACTTGCTATTTTATGGGACTCTTTGATTGCTCATGGCAGAGTATGCCATAGGTTTTTTGACCAACAAACCTGATCGATGCCATATCAGTATCGATGCCATATAAATTTGTCCTAGCTTTAAGTAAAACAAGATTATTAATGCCACGAAGGTTTAGGGCACATCTTTAGTAACAAACACGCCATAAAGACTGATTCAAGTTGTTCAGGGTTTTATAAATCTCTGTCAGGAGCACCTGTAAATTCCTCTTGTAAACAGTTTATTTTCGTTAAAGTTCCCAAAAAATTTGAAGTACTATCTTTGTGAATGAGTTTAACCAACGTGAAAATATTTGCTGACCACACCCAGATTTGGGAAAGCCCTCATTTTGTAACTGCTTTTGGAAAAACTGTCTTTTCTACTTGACCTTGGTTGGCTATTCAAACACAATAACCCTCATATGTAGCTTCTTGTGGCTGACCTCCTTATACAACTGTCTATTTCCTTCACAATTCCTCTAACATTTATATTCTGAATTGTTCAAGACAAGGAAGCTTTACGAGTAAAGCCTGATTTTCCAAAGTTGCAAGCAAATATCTAAGAAGAACAAACAGTATTTAAAAGTTTAAAACTAAGTCTGTTCTCAGGGAGCAAAACCTGCAACATCCCTGACAAGTATTTCAGAATCCAGTTTTTTAAGGATTAAAGCACTTTAGCATTTTAGTTTCCATGTTATCGGAAAATCTAAAGAACGTGAAAGACTTTTCTAATATAAACCCTAAAAATGGGGGGGGGGGGAGAATGTAAAATATCCTGTAGAGGGTCCCTTACGAGCAAAGTGAGCAGAAATCTTTTCAACCACCTCCTTTGGATTTAGCTTAAAATACATTTAAGAATTTCTTACAGTCATTTACTTGCAGTCTTTAAAACTTTTTATGTTTGTCTGAAATATCGACCCCCCCCCCCTCCCTGAGGTAATAAGCTTAATGCAAATTTGCACTTTTCCAAGACACCAAATTTCTGAGCATTAGGGGGCAGCCGTCCCCTTGCAATGCTATTGTTAACAGTCTGTTTTTTAATTGTTATGTTATGTAGTTTTGCACTTACATTGTGTAAAGTTCTCCTATTAAATTTACTTCACTATAACAGTACATTGCGCATTGAGAAGTTAACTGTCAGGCATACATTGAAATTTAAGCCACATGAAGGGTTACCCTCTGTAAATACAGATTTGACATAATATGTGGAAAAAATATCAACTTTCTGTAGGATTGACAAAAAGAATTTCATAAGGCAGTCTAAACTACAGAAAAAAGTGAATTTCTTTTTCCCAAGTATGAACAAAAAGTAGAAAACGGTATACCAAACAGTCATGTGCAGAAGATATTTTGCCATTGAATCACCATGCCAGGCACATAAATGGCAGGGGGTGTGCGGCTTTATGCCCCCTAAAGTTTGGAAAATCCATTTACAGTTGGAAAACCTAACAGTTTACTTGGATTTTGTTTTCTCAAGACCAAACTCATGAATGTAATAATTTAGGAATTTTGAATGTAAAAATTTTAAACCTTATTAAAATTTACAGGCTGGACCCATCTACTAATTGTTTCCTATTGTGAAGTCCTGTCTCCACCGGATCTCCACTGTATTTTTGGATGCTTTTTTGACGGGACTTAAGTTGAATTGAATTATTTTGATCAGGCAAGGAAAATTTTCGAACAAGAACAAGAATCAGATATTGAGCCTACAGTTTTGAAAAAATGATACCTTGTATTGATCATAATACAAGGGAATCTTTAAGAAACTACGAGTAGTCAATTCAATAAAAAGTATAGAATCTTTCAATGCAAAAAATTCTTGAAGCTTCTAGGAGAATAGTCAAATTCTAATAAATTGCTATTAATAATACTGCTGAGAAGCCAGAAAACATTGCAGAAGCTGTAGCAGAAGTATTTGATCAAACAAAATGTTTTATCTTACGAATTGAGCATGTGTACTTGCTCTCAAATCATCCATTTCTATTGTAATAACAAGAAAGGACATGTGGCCCTCTGAAAATTGTCAACAATTTCCTTTGATCAAGAAAAAAGACGAAGGGCTTAACTCCTTGATGCTTTTAAATTGTTAAAGAGATATCTTAGATAAAATTGATTTGCACCAAATAGCTGGGGCAAAGCAGAAAAAGTGAAGAATTTCTGGAAATTGATTAGAAAGAATGTACATTTTTATTATCAAATATATATGTTTATCAGATATTTGGCTTTACTTCTTATGACAGTTTTAATGTTTATGTTTTGTTAATCCAAACTCAGAGATTTCCTTATCATATTTATTGCTTATCTAGCTTTACTAGGCTAATTATTATTAGTAAAATTTTCCTAATTACAAAGAACCTAGAAATGTGGAATAGGGTCCATTTTCAATTATATCAATTGAGTAGGTACAGTAGATTTACAGGTCAAACAAAATATTCTTCAGTTGAAGTTGGAATTTTCATCCTCCCACGACCCCCAAAATTAGCTTTCATCTCTGTGAATCACTGAAATATGTGAAATAGTATTCCTTATCAAAAAGTGTTGAAAATTAAGGTTGGACCAGGGGTGTAAAAAGTTGGAGGCACAGGGGGCTGATGTCCTTTATCTTTTTGCAATTTTAGGGTGCATTTCTCATTGCAAAATATCCTAGGGTGGAACTGTCAATTTTGCTTTCTTTCTTTCAACAATTTTTAAATTCTCTTCTGGTTTTTCAATTCTCCTATAAGGTAATCTTCTTCTAAAAAGAGGAAGCTCCATCGAGGTTGTTCAGTTGAAACATTCTTTTCTTCTTCCTTTCTTTACTGTGCTTTGCAAGAAAGGCTCCAAAGGTCCTGGAAATTGATAGACATAAATGTTCTGTACTGTTTACTCTTTACTGTTTAAATATGTCTTCTTGTTTTCAAAGAGAATGAAGAATTTCTGCAAATGTTGAGGACATTCAACATTACCAATGTTTATTTGCAGGAAGGTTTGGAAAAGAAGCATATGAAAACAGGGCTATCAGAATCATGGGGCTAGGGGGCTGTAGCAGCAATGATTGCCTAACTACTTTAGTTGATTCCTTTATAACAAGGTACTGAATGGGAAGCAACTGAGAAGGCAACTAGCCCCCACCCCAAAATATGAATTTTGATCTGACCACACTGGAGCTAATCCCACAACATTGACAGTATGCTTAGAAAATAAAGATGGTGAAAATTTGTCTTTTGATAAGAATGGTGAATGCTTGATTCAATGCCATCAACAGCATTGAAGTAGACAAAAGTTATGATTTACCACAAGAGAGTAAATACAGGAAGTAATCATGGAGTTCACAAATGTTTGTGAGAGGGCCTCTTGATTGAGAGATTATATCTTTTGCAGGAGTGGCAGCAGGACCTAATGTGCCAATGCTGTCCATCTAGAGTAATTGTTAGCACCCAAAAAACAAAAGTATTAATTCATAGGAAGTGATGTATGACTGAAATATTATTCCCACATGAAATTTAGCAGCAATAGGAAACCTGAAAACCTTTACTAAAAAGGAAAATGCTTTAAAAGCCCTTTATCTCCGATTAAATATGGATCAGCAGTGTTGCAGGCAGTCATATACCAATCAAAAGAAGATGGTATAGACTTTCAAACTAGCATAGCTTGCTTCAATATCAAAAAGTGATACCCGTTTCATATACAGAGAGTCTATTTGCTTTTATGGCAGTGTGCAGTCATTATTTGCTTACAAATATGTAAGAAGGGTGTTAGTGTATAAAGTCAAAAGCAAAGATTCAAATCTCTCCAAAAATAGACATCAGCGCAAATTACTTTCAAAGTATGACATTGCTGTAATCGTCTACTTAGTTTGATTCAATGATAGGTTTCCCAGGTTAGAACAAAGTGGACCTTTCTAAAAAACATGATATGGGATCAAAGCGATGTGCACAGCACAAGTGCGTAAGTTGACACAGCTGATTTTTTGTTCTGGTGCACAAAAGATGTTTTTCAAGAATTATTTTGTATGAATCACCTGTGTGCAGGGGCAAAACTACTGGGGGGTATGGGGGGTGCTGCACCCCCCAATCTTCCAAAAAGCAGATTTTGTCAGGCAAATTTATGGCTGCCACTGTATCTGTCGGGAAAATCTGGAAATGTTCTTTAGATCGCACTTTTATTGCTACTTTTTGGCCTAGCTTGGTTTTTCCCCCATCTTTTTTTCAATCTCCTCCCACCCCCAGTTGGAAAAACAAAACAGAAACGAGGCTAGGAACAGTAACATATATATACATTTCTGTCTTTTGTCCTGTCTTTCGTCTCGAGCTCGACAGGCACATGTTTATCTTCGCCTCGAGATGAAGTCTGAAGTATTGATCAACAGCGAAAGTATAGACGGAAAGTAAAGTGTGTTTGATGCGAGAAGAAAATGAACACTGTGCATACCCATTCCCCCTACTTTTTGCAAAACAAGAGAGCTTTTTACAAAATCTTTGTTTGTGATTTCTAAATTTTCCCTTGACAAGCCCAATTTATGCACGGTAAAAGTTCTTTCTCCTTCTGCATGCTGGTCGCTCGAGATGTCCTGTACGCAAAAATCTTCATTTTCATACTGGTGTTAGGAGGAAGTCTACATTCCATACATTTGATTTCTGACTTCATCATTATGGTACTTACCTTGTGTTTGCAGGCAGTAGGCGGAAGAATGTAAGCAAAGCCTAGAACCGGTGAGCTACACTCCTAAAAACTTCGAAAATCTGAAGGCATGTGAATGCAAAGATCGAAAATTCAAGTACGTACAGATTCCCTTTGAGATTTTTTCTTAGATGCATCGGCCATTATGACATGGTTGACAATGACATCTTCCATCGCCATCAACTGTAAACATGATTGTACAGCATTCTTTCTCTGACCTGAAAGGAGACTGCATCGATCTCGGTCACAAGTGGAGCGCCATCACAAGGGGGCTTCATCGGGGGCTTATTCGATGGGCGAGGGGCTTATTTCAAAACATGGCATTCTTCAAGGGGATGGCAAATTTGACTCGCAGAATATATCTGAAAAACACAGGGGCGTAGCGTGCCGGGGGGGGGCGGTGTTGTCACGCCCCCTAACTTTCAGAGAACTTGTCACGCCATGCCACTGTAAAAACAACACAGTCGAGTCGTCGAACAGTCTTCCTCGCTGACCCACTGCCTATAAGAAATGAGTAGCCTACAGACAGTCAGAATAAAAAGAAACTTCTGTACTCGAAGCAAAAAAGTAATAATGATAATAATTGTTGTATCTGTGAGGAATTTTCTAAATACTCCAGTGATCCGTTTGCGTTCAAGTCGAGATCACAGTAATAAAACATCGGAAAGCAGTGAACTCAATTTAATTATATTCACAACCAACTTTTAAAAACTGAATAACATCAAGGCAAAGCAAACAACGTTCGTAAAACACCTTAGAAACACGAAACAAAGTATTCTAAAGGTTCATTGACGATAATTCAACAATAAGGTGACAAGTCCTTTTGTAATTCAACACACGATGCCACAGTTCTTTTCTTGTTAAATCAGCAGCATCGCAGCGCAACTACACACAACAATAATAATAAAAATAATAATAATAGCTTTGAAAAAAGCAAACATTTAGTAAACTAAAGCTTTTCGTCTGACACTCTTCAGAGTTTATAACATCAGAACATAGACCGAAAAGTTGTGGATCGAAATAGGCCAATCAGAAACACGAGCACATGACTGTTGAGGTTGTCCAATCAGTGCCGCTTGCCTATTGAGAATGTTACCAATGGAGTCAGTCCTAAGTTGAAGACGAACTCCTTTTGTCTACACAGTAGCGGTTTTTTCGTGCTTATGTAGATAGATTCCAAAACTGCTAAGTGGAACGACGATCGGGCTTTACCAATAATCCGAAACATGTCGCCAATCTGGGTTTTCTAATAAATGCTGCCCGATAGCAGAATAGCAGGTTTAGTTGTAATTTTAGATTTGCAAGACCAAGGTGGCTGTTCTCTTTAGGGATGGGTTTTGTTTCTAATATTAGACGGAACATGTTGTTTTATTCTATCCTCCAATCTTTGGGTGGTGCGTCCTACGTAGCCAGAATCACACTGGCACGTAAATTCATATACAACGGAACTTTTTTGTGTGGTAGGAATAATAATAATAATAATAATTCTTTTTTCTACAGCAGGCGTTCTTTACAGTAGTAGCTAAAACCATAAGCTAATTAAAGCCCACTATTTATAGGAATAAAAATGATGATATTATACAGTGATGTAAAAACTATTTAAAGAAATAAATTAGAATACCTAGGATTCAATTAGATAAATAGTTGAAAATATTAATGTTAGACAATTCATGTCAAGAACCCGACCTGTGTTACAAAAGTTCTACATAGCCTGCAGCTGCAATTATCTTTCCATTGTTTGATCTTCACTTTAAAGGTATGAAGAGTATTTTGGTTTTACAAGTTTTCTGGTAGATTGTTCCAAAGCTTGCATCCTAAATAGGACAAGCTTTCGATTCCATGAGTGATGGTTCGGGGTTTTTTAAGATGGTAGTGGCTGCTCTTTTGTATGAATATTTCATTCATAAAGCTTGGATTGAGTTTATGTACAGTTTTGTAGATCTCAATCATTAGTAGCTGCAGGTTTCTTTTGTGTATGGATGGACACACAGTTGTTTTCAATCAGGAGAGTATCAAAATCTGACACATTGTTTTTGAATGCGATACGCAGTGCGTTTTCATGTATATGGTTTATCTTATTATTTAGGCTTTTGTCACAGAACATCCATACAAGTGGGCAATAGCTAAATTGGCATAGAATAAATGTCCTCATTGTTTGCTTGAGTTGTTCTGTGCTTAAGTAGCATGAAATGCGGGAGAGGGCGTGCAATTTTTGACTAGCCTTTTACACAGTGTTTTTATGTGTGGCTTAAATGAGAGTTTTTTGTCTATAGTTACACCAAGTAGTTTTTCTTCGCTGCTTTCGTTGATTAGATTGTTGTCTATTTGTATGTCTAAGTCATTACTTTGATCGCCAAAGGTCATGAAGTGGCATTTGTCCCAATTTAATCTCATACAGTTGTCTTTGAACCATTCTGCAACTGTTTAGGAATTTTTTTTCTAATTTTTCAATTACATGTGATGGGTTGATGTTGCTCGCATAGAGGGTTGTGTCATCTGCATAGTTGCATATCTCTATGTCTGGTACAAACATGAGCAGATCGTTAATGTAAATATTAAATAAGAGAGACCCTAGGACTTACCCTTGTGGAACACCCTTGTCGATTTCTTTCCATTTTCTTTGTTTCCTCTTGTCTAGATAGCTATGAATGAACAATAAGGCTTTTCTGCTGAATCCATATGCATTAAGCTTTGTATTCAGAAGTTCGTGGTTTAAGCAATCAAAGGCCTTTGATAGGTCCATAAAGACAGCCCCGACACACTCTCCGGCGTCCAGACTAATCTTACATTTTTCAGTAAACGCAGTAGGGCATGTTGTGCACTATAATTTTCTCGAAATCTACAAAGCAAAGGGTTAAAGAAGCCTAGTGAAAATGGTTTCATCTGAGATTCCATAAGTCTTTCCTATACTTTTGAGACTGGTAGGAGGACCGTGATTGGTCTATAGTTTTTTTAACATGTATATCCTCTTTTTTATGAATTGATGCAATATCACCAGCATTAAGCTTCGACGGGAAGTTGCATTCATCAATAGACAGGAAATTTACTGTAACAATCTAGGAAACTGGGTAACCGAAATTTTTGAAGTGGATATGACTTCTATGATGGTTGGTCGTCAATTTAAACCTTGGGCACATTCTCGAAAATTTGTTGTTGTCACGTGATCGATGACGTAATTACTCCCCGGTCAGTAAAACATTTTTTGAATCTGAGTATACCATTCGAAAGAACATGCCAAACTGTGTCAAAAATTATAAAACACTTAAGTATTGTTTGACTTATTGTTTCGAAATTATAGATGTTTGAACTTTCTATGACTTCATCAAAATGGCCGCCACTGGATTTTGTGAAGAGCATCCCGCCTAAAGGGTTTGATAAAGCCATCGATCATAAATTGATTAGTTGTGAACGTGTTATCAATTTTCGTCTCAGCCATTGTTATTATGTCTATATTATTGGATACAACTGTTTTCAGCATATCAAATTTATGTCGTATCGAGTTGATGTTCAGGTAGCTCAATATAAGTTCTTTTTTATTTTTCGCTCGAAAGTCTTTAAGCCTATTGAAGACGTTTTCAGAGTTCGAGCTTTCTGTGACCGTGTTATTCGAGCTTTCATCGGAGCCTGCATCCACATTTTCGTCAGCAAGATCTATGTAATTAAAAGAGGATATCTCAGGGGTGTTATGCTCACGGATATTATTTTCCTGATTTTTAGTAACTCCCGAGGCAACCTCATTATTCTTTTTTATTTCATTTGTTAATATATCACTGTCGACATAGCAATAATAAGTTAGAAAACAACAGAAAAAGCAACATTTTCGAAGTTTCGTGAAAATCCCCAATATGATTTGCTAGTAGGCATGACAATTTAAACACAGGAAATGAAATCGCTCTTACAAATTGGGATTGTCAAAGTCTTTTTCCCAAAAATTTGGGAACTGCCCCGACGAGCACCTATTAATTATGAATCTTTGAATGATTTTTGCCTTAATTTTTGTCAGGGACATTTATATACAAGATCTTTGGGGTCAAGAAAGTGCTTGATTCCTTAGATTAGGTTCTTTACAAAGAAAAGTATGCGCTCTTTGTTGTTTGTTAAAATTATTGAATAACACTTATGGTGATCTTAATATTTTGAGCATTCAGTATTGCAACTGAGTTCATTTCATTTTCATTTCATTTTAAAATCTTTATAAACGAATTTCCTATCAGCTAAAATAAAAATAAACTACTTCTACTACGAATTAATTCTTTAATTTATATAAAATAAAGATGTTGCTGTTCTACCCAGGGATCGTGTTTTGTTTAGGGAATTTATTAACTTTGCAGGAATCCTTTCAAGTTTCTTTTAAACATGGAAATTGTGGGGCTCATTCTGATGTTTCTTGGAATCTCATTCCATGTTTTGGCCCCAGAGTGAAAGGAACTTCCCTTTGAGAATTCCGAATTTTGCCTTGGGATGTCAATATCAAGCTGATTCCTTTTCGAATACCTGGATATCTTTGATCTAGTGATAAATTTACCTTAAGGCTGTCAGGGCAAAGACCGTTCATCATTTTGTACGTCATTATGGCCCTGTCATATTTAATTAGGTTCGAAACTGAAAGCCATTTACAAATCCACCCGTCCTCAAATTTAGCACTTTCAATTAATGTTTGAGCCCTGTCTTGAAGACGCTGAAGATGTTCAAGTTTTGTAGCGGACAGACTTCCCCATAATTCATCACCGTATCGTAGATGGCTCTCGAAAAGTGTCCTATAAACCTGGTCCAATTTCGACTGTGGTAGTATGTTTTTAAGTTTCCTCAACGAAGGAAGACCACTTTTGAGTTTACACTTAAGCCTCTTGTACTGCTTGTTCCAAGAAAGGTTTTCATCGATAGTAACTCCTAGATATTTTACTTCATGGGCTCGTTGGATTTTCTTCTCTGAGAAGTTTTATTTCTCTCTCCGATTCTCTAGCCCCCTTTTGGAAAGGTCACTTTCCTCCGTCGTAGAATAACTAATGACACCACTAAATGCATCATAATCTTCTTGCTTAAGGTAAGCTTAACTGTATATCCAGGTGTGGATAAAATGAAATGCGTCGGGATAAAGGACCCTTTTGATCAGTTGCTCATTTTGACCAATCAGCAACCGCTATCCTCCCACCTCGTTGAAGTGGTTGCAAAAGTGCGATCATGCCAAGCTAGGTAAGCACAAGGTAAGCATAACTGTATGTCCAGGTGTGGATAAAGAGTAACGCGAGGGGAAGAAGGTTGA